AAAGCGCCTAGTTGCCGTGAAAATGGCCAAGGGACATGTAACCAAATACTAATGTTGCTGTACGTATATTTTTGACCCAGCAGATTTGGTGACATTTTCAGCAGACCCATAATAAATTTATGAAAGAACCAAATTTTATGAYTGTTTTTTGTGACAAACATGTATGTGTTCCGATCACTCTATCACAGAAAAATAAGAGTTGTAGAACTTATTGAAAACTCAAGACAGCATAACATTATGTTTTTTTACAAGTGTATGTAAACTTTTGACCACAACTGTAAATACTTCTTGATACATGGACACAAAAGACTGTCCGAGGACAAACATTCATCAACACGCCAGCGACTTCTGTAGCGTGCGACAATAAAAACCGCCTGCATCAGACAAGCATCTCGGCTAACATCTCGTCTACAGAAAGATTCTTAACTCAAGAGAGGCTGAAAATATTTTAAAAGAAAAACAAGTCTACATGACAGGGGCAGCTTATTTTTGTCTATATGGTAGAAGCGGAACAAGACCAGAAAGTTTAGTTGAAACAAACTTTTTCATATTATTTCTCTAACAGTCAAAATCCACAGAATAACACAAAATAACTAAGAAACCAATGAAATCTGAAGTAGATCTACATACAGCTAAAACATAATCCAATCCAACTTTATTTGTAAAGCATTTTTTGCACCACAGCAGACTAAAGTGCTGTACAGAAGCAACATTCCAACACAGCTCATGCATAAAACATATTCAATCAAAAAATACAGTAAAAACACAGAAAAAATAAAAGCAGTGAATAAAGCAGGAAATAGAAAAAGTAAAAAAAAAAAACAGGTCATTTAAAACAAAGAAATGCCTAAAAAATTTATAATCTACAATATACACAACACAAAAAATTCTCCAAAAATAAAATCTAAAATAAATGGACAACACAACCCCCTACACAATGTCAAAAGCCAAACAAAACAAGTTGGCCTGTCTGAGTTGGAGAGGTACTGTAGAACCCTGCCTGGCTTAGGAGCTGCTGCGGCAAAAGATCGATCTCCGTTTAGTTTACGTCTGGTTTTAGGGACCCTGGTTTTAGGGACCCTCAGGAGCAGTTGATCAGCTGATCTGAGGGAGCGGGAGGGATTATAGGGGTGCAGCAGGTCAGACAGGTATGGTGGGGCAAGGCCAGTCAAAGATTTAAAAACAAATAAAAATATTTTAAAATGGATCCTAAAAGGCAAAGGCAGCCAGTGAAGTGAAGCTAAAGTGGGAGAAATATGCTCATATTTACGTGTGCCAGTTAAAAGCCTCGCTGCAGCATGTTGGACCTTCTGCAGTCGGGCGATGGAGGACCCACTAACCCATCATTCCAAAAAATATATTTTGAGACAGTAATCCATGCCTTTATCACCACCCGGCTGGATTACTGTAATGCACTTTATCTCGGGGTTAGTGGGTCCTCCATCGCCCGACTGCAGAGGGTCCAACATGCTGCAGCGAGGCTTTTAACTGGCACACGTAAATATGAGCATAAGTGCATTACAGTAATCCAGCCGGGTGGTGATAAAGGCATGGATTACTGTCTCAAAATACATTTTTGGAATGATGGGTTTTATTTTGGCTAGCTGCCTCAAATTATAAAAAAAATCCTTTTCACAACTGACCTAATGTGGCTGTCTAATTTAAGTTCAGGATCTACTTCATTCACCTCCCAAATTCCTCACTAACAATTTCTTGTATTGAGCCAAGGAACCTAGATCTACAGGGGAGTGGCCTGCAGTACCTCCAAAAACCATAACCTCAGTCTTAGTTTCATTAAAATACAGAAAATTCAGTGCCATCCAGGCCTTCAGGTCCTCAAGACACCTAAGAAGTCAGTCTATGGAATATGCATTTGACTTTTTGAGAGGGACATAGATCTGACTGTCATCTGCGTAACAATGAAATGAAATACCGTGCTTTCTGAGAATGGAACCGAGTGGGAGCAAATAAAAACAAATGCAGGCCTAAAACTGAGCCTTGAGGGACTCCACATGAAAGAGGAGAAGAGGAGGACACTGACCCCTCAAGACTAAAACAGAATGTTCGGTTGGACAGGTAGGACCTGAACCAATTCAAGGCAACACCCCTGATTCCCGCCCACTGGTCCTGACGAGATAACAGAATGTCATGGTCCACAGTATCAAAAGCAGCTGTTAGGTCTAAAAGCACAAGGATGACACAGTCACCGGTTTCAGTAGCTAAAAGAATATCATTAAAAACTTTTAAAAGAGCTGATTCAGTGCTGTGGAGAGTTTTAAAACCAGATTGGAAAACCTCGAGAATACTATAATCTTCAATAAAACCAAGTAATTGACTGAACACAATTTTCTCAAGGACTTTAAAAATAAAAGAAAGCTTAGAAATTGGCCTAAAATTAGCAAAGTTAGTGGTGTCTAGTCCAGGTTTTTAAATAAGAGGCTGCACCACTGCATGTTTAAAATGATCAGGGACCCCACCAGAGGACAGACTACTATTAAGGAGTTCAAGACAAAATGGTCCTAGGGTGGGGAAAACCTCTTTAAAAAGTCAAGGAAGGACAGCATCATTAGGAGAACCTGAAGGCTTCAGATGAGAGATAATCTCCTGAAGAGAAGACAAAGTCATAGGTTCAAACCTATCAAAAACTGCACAAGCAGGGACACAAATGGAGGGATCATGGGTACAAGGTAAAATCTGATCTCTCATAGATTTGATTTTATCTATGAAAAAGTGAAGAAAGTTTTCACAAATAATATCAATGCAAGCAGTCTGTGGAGGATTAAAAACCAAGCCAATTGTTTTGAATAAAACAAGAGGGTTATAAGAGTTTGACTGGATAATATCAGACAGATACATTATTTTGGCTTCCTTCACGGTCTTTTGAAAACAACACCAGGAGTCCTTCAATATTTGAAAACATAAAAACAAAACAGTCCTTTAAAATGTGAACTTTATCACCTTAGCAACTGTAAAAATCCTTTCCTTCAGGAATAAATATTCTGACACTATAGACAGAATAAAGACAGATATTCTGGTGCTTTGAGTACATGACAGTGATATAAATCCAAACACTGAAATATTCCTCCAAACTTTCCCTCTGAACATTTAGATGTTAAATTATTCATTATGAACTCAGGTTAGATCGAAGTCCAAGTGCAGAAAAAGCTGCATACAAAAAAATTACACTTTCCATTTTTTTAAGCACGTTGGTTTATTTTAGTCTGCCTAAATAAAGCAAAACATGTTAAACAGCCTTATTTGCGTATTTGCTGGACTGTTTCTTTGGATAACTAGTCACTGTGTGTGTGCCTTGTTGTTTTTCCTGTCTTAGTGCCAAGCTGATACAGGATCAGGGTGTGGTCTGTTCTACTTTTCTGAGGGCTGTTTCTTGAGGAACCAGTGCTCCCTGCTCTACTCCGAGACAAAAATGTCACCAAGGCTGTGGTATTTGTTCAACAGGTTACCATGGATTGAGGGATGTGGACCTCTTGTCTGTTGATCACCTACCTGCGGAGAGGTGCAGGCTGTTTCGCACATGCTCCGCCACCTGCCGCACTACGGTGGAGTTGCCGGGCACGTAGCCCAGCTGGAACTTTTGAAGCCTCATTTTTGGCAAGCTCTCGACATTAAAGCTTTCGTAGATCGTGGCGTTCGGGTAGTTCTTAAAGTCCACCTTCTGACGAAGCGCAATCAGGATGCCCGAGAAAAGAAGGGGCAGAAGGATCTCCACCAGAGTGACCAGGATTTGACGTTTCTGTAGAAACACAGATACGTGTATTTGTTCAGCAGATTAGCAAGTTCAACAAATACTAAAGAGGAATGTCAATAAAGATAAAAAAAACATCATATAGAACACAAAGTTTGATGGGGTCTCCAAATTGATCAAACTGTTCCAGTTTTTATCAAGATTAAATGAACTTTTTCGCTGGTTTTGGCAGCCAACTTGTTAACTCCAAACATCAAATATTTTCTGCAACTTCCAAGGGATATTTTTGGTAAGAGACAAACACGTGCCTTCCTTTGCCTGTCAGCGGGGAGACTGTTTAGATCTCAAAAAACACACAAAAAAATCTTTTGTGCTCGTAGCGTTAATTTTTAAACAGGACTTTTAAGTTCCTTAAATTTCAAAACATGAAGTAGCTGAATTAGAAACCTGTCAAAACGTCCACAAGGTCGTACAATGATTGAAGGCCTTTGTTAACGGACGTTTTAGCTCCTAAAGAGCTAAATGTTCAAACGTTCCTTGTGAAGGAAAAATGTCAAAGGAGCAACAACCTCTCATGTTTTAGAGCCAACAGTTTATTTTATTGCTCAACAGCTGAAATGTTGTGAAATCATTGGCTGATATTAGTGTTCAGTTTAATGCAAGCAGCTATTC